CGGTGAAGCATATGATCGTTGAGGTGACTAAATTGCCGGTCTAGCGTGAGCCAATGAAAATAAGGCAGAATTTGTTATGGACTAACAGGGGGCTTATATATATTGCCAAAAAGCCATGTTCAATATACACGTATAGTTGTAAAGGTCGTGACATGCAGTTTAGAGGAGAAAGGACGAAATATAGAAAGTAATTGACTGAGAAGTGAGAAGGGATAGATCCGTCTTGTTGTCAGAAAGAATTCCTATTAAAGGGGAAACAGTGAAGCTACTTGAAGACTAAGATCTGGTCAAGAGCGTCTGTATGGGCTCCAAATTAAGAGAAAGTAACTGGCCAACCGTCAGTCGTAAAATTACTTTGAAATGAAGGTGTAGGATATGTGGAAGACGAATGAGAATAGTTGTCATAACAATGGCGGTCCTTTGGTAAGGCACTGGCTTCTGGTTCGAAGACTTGATTATTTTTTGTGGGGGGAAAAAGGTGAAATTTGTACATGTAGGAAGCAAGTCGTACTATACGAGGAAGGTGAAGATAACAAATTTGTATAGATCTGGTGGTACGTGGGTAACACAATGACGTAGTATTGGGAAGGTACCGGGTTCGAGACCACGACGTCTTTTGTCAATAGAAATTGAAAAGTGAATAAATAAATACCATTTTTCTGCAGCTATAAACCAAGTCGCATAATATAAGGACGATCGTAGAAAGTTATGACATTCATGTTCTGGTGGCCTAGAGGTAAGGCACAGGAGTTCTAAAGATAAGGTTCGTGGTTCGAAAACACATATTTTTGTAATGAGATTTTTATGGAATTATATAGCGACATGTAACATAAGAAGAAGATTAGAGGTAAAAAATGTCCGTGACATTGGTGGCCTATTGGTAAAACACCGGCGTAGTGATGAAGGGTTGGAAGGTTCGAGACCAAGTATAGTTTTGTGATTTAGAAAGTAAGTTAAATTATTTTTCTGGAATTATAACCGAAGATGTACCTTAAGAGGAAGATTAAAGAAAATAAATTTCAGTGGTGCTGGTGGTCTAGGAGTAAAGACATCAGCTTAGTGTTCAGAAAGTCCCTGGTTCAAAACCAGTAGGATTTTTGTGAAAAAGAAAATGGAAAGAAGTCAGGAGATAGGGTGAAGGAAGAGGG